TTGCCTCTCGGGTATTTTCATTTCATTTTAGCCGCCCGCTCCCAAAGGATCTCTACCTCTCTACTCGGGAAAGCTCGTTCCACTGCTCAAAATCCTCAGGCATCCTCTTTAAGTCCCTGATTTGTAGAGAAAGAAAAAAAAGAGAGAGAGATGGTACGCCAGCAGGGGGCAGTAGCAATCTTTTCCTGCCCCGGTTAAAGGTTAGAAGAGGGCTCCATGTTAGAAATGGAGCCAGGAAAAGTGAGACTGGGGGGTTAATTTTATTTCCCATTCCAGATGTTAACTGCCTGGAAGGGTCATGTAACAAAGTGTAAATGTTCTTCTCCTAATTGGCTAAAGAAAAGGAAACTAGTGAAAGTTTATAAAATCAGTACAAAAGCATGACAGGTAACCCAGATATCTCAAATTCATAAATATTATTAATAGAAATAACAGAAAGGGTAGATAAATCAATGCAAGCAATTATGTACATCTGTCAAGGAGTAATAACACCTGTATGTCTTATCATAAATGAGGTGAGTATCGTGCTCTTCGTCAGTAAAATATAACTTGTTAGTCACCTTGACACTCCACAGCTGGTCTTAATTTTAAAATGAAATTATATGACTTATTTTTAGTCTAAAAATAGCTAACTTTCCCTTAGATAAAAATTTCCCTTAGATAAATGGAGATATGTCATATCAGAATACAGAAGAATTCTATGTTTTTAAAAAGTAGATTCTGAGAAAAATATTGCAAGTTCTTTTTGCCTTTTAATATTACTATAAATTGTCTAAAGATCTTGTTGGAATGCAGATTCTGATCCAGTAGGTCTAGGGTGCTGCCTGAGATTCAGTATTTCTAGTACATTCTTGGCTGAAGTTGATGCTTTTTGAGCAGTAAGGACTTATTTTTCCCTTTCATCAGATTTCTAGCCCACCAAGACAACGAGGATACAAGAACCTCTTTTTAGATGAAGTGAAGCAGTACCCTGGTATTCTGCTTACATACAAGATCAATTCTTTCAATGTGTTTCTGCCTGGTCTAGAAAAAGTGAGTCAATTTTAAAAGAAAACAGTATGGTCCAGGATGAGACATCTCTGGACTGCAGCTTTGAATGTGTTCACTTCCAGATTCATCCACAGGGAAACTCTAGACCCGATATTTCCCCTATAGTCCTGACCCCCAAAAATCAATTCCTGGAAATGTATGTCTTCAGTTGGTACTATAGGGAAAAATCAGACAAGATTCTTTAATATGTGAGTTTAAGATTTTTTTTATAAAAGAAAATATGGGGGACCAGCAGGTAGAGTAATGATTATGTCACTGGAATCCCACTTGGTCAACCACAGTTCGAGTCCTGGATCTGTCGGCTTAAACTCACACTAGGTGTGTGTGCATGCATGCTCAAAATCCCAAGAAGAAAATGAAGGAGAAGGGATTGCAGGTGGCCATCCCCCCTGGGGGGAGATTTCTCACTCTCTGTTTCTCTCTTTATCTCTACCCAGTGAGTACACACGCACTATGGCAAAAACCTCTCTTGAAAAAAAAGAAAATATGGTTAATAAAGTAGAAGAGAATGATTTGTCTCAAATTTGTTTAAGGATGTAATGCGTAAAGTAATACAATGTTTGCACATCATTTTTTTCAATAACAGAGTTGTTTTATCAATCAAGAGTAGGATGAACAGGGAAATCTGACAGAGATTCTGGCCAGCAACATGAAATCAGAGCATTATATTATTTTCAATTTGGAAGCGGCTTTAGGGAGGATCTAGTGTAACCTCCTCATTTTACGTTTTTAGGTCTCTTCGATTCAGATTCTGGCCCTGTTAGTCCGCAGAAACAGCTCTCACTAAAAATTCTAATGAATTCTTTGTAACTAAGGTCAAAGGAAGTTTTTCTGTTCTCATATTACTTGAAAGTTTCATGGTACCTATTACCATCAGCCTCTTCTTCCTTCAAGCACTTTCCCCTCTTGACCCTGTGACACAGTATGCTCCCAGTTTGCCTCTTATTCTATCTTCTTGACAGCCATATCCTCCTCTACCTGGCCTATAAAGTTGAATTTCCTACAGGCTGTATTCTAGGCCCTCTCCTGATATTATACTCTCTTAGACAGTATTATAAATTCCATTATCCTTTTATGCAGATGGCACACAAATGTATATTTCTATCCAGACCTCTATATCCAACTGCCTCCTAAACAATTCCTGTTGGATGTCTCAAAGTTCTTCAAACTCCTCATGTCAAAACTAAACTTTTTATAGTTCCTCCAAACTCTGCTTCTATTGTACTGTGTCTTTTTCACTGTCACCAATCAAGGCCAAGACATCATTTTTAAGACCTCCTCTCTCATCTACCATTTCCAGTTCTTTGCCAAGTCCTATCGATTTATCTCTCAAATATTTCTCAAGTCTGACCAATTTTCCCCATCTCAACCTTCATGATCCCAGTTAGATATTCTTCTCTCTTAATAGTACTGCTGCAATAGCAGCCTTACTAATCTATCTAGACTGACAGATGGCCTTTTTTTTTTTTACCTTATTTTGTGTTCTGCAGCCAGAGTGATTATTCAAAATCAGAATCTTTTTAAATTACAGCCCCTGTTTAACACTAGGGCTCTCCATATATCTTTGGGTAGAACAAGGAAACAACTGAACATGCCCTAAATTTCCACATGTTCTGGCCCATGCCTACATTGTTATTCATCTCCTCCCCTATTTACCTCATTCCTTCCCCTCTGGCCATATCAGTCATTTTCAGTCCCTAGTGCTTATCCCATGAGGATTAGTAATACAGTAAGCATGTACTACTTGCTCAGGCCTCATATCTTTTTCTGGCTAATAACAGCTTATTTGTCAAATCTCTGCTCAGTTAGTATTTCCTCAAGAAGGCCTTCCCCTACCTGTAGATCTCTGTCAACCCTCGCTGTCACAGGCTCTCTTAATACTCTGTGACTCTGATTTAAGGAGCTCATCGCCATTGCATATGCATGTGTATATGACTGTTTGCTTAGATGATGAGCTTTGTAATGAACAGGAACAGCAGATGTTTTGGTCCATCATTGAATACTCATACGTTCAGTGATAGATAATGACAATAATCATAACATTTATGGTAACTAGGATATAATTTTAAATATATACCCAGAGTGCTGCTTAAACAAAATAACATAAGTAAATATGTGTAGTTCACAAATGGTTCTGTCCAAAAATTACTTATTAGGGAGTTAAAAAGTTAACTGTGATTATTTGAAAAAAAAAAAAAACCAGCTAAAGTCATTTTCAGTCCCTAGTGCTTATCCCATGAGGATTAGTAATACAGTAAGCATGTACTACTTGCTCAGGCCTCATATCTTTTTCTGGCTAATAACAGCTTATTTGTCAAATCTCTGCTCAGTTAGTATTTCCTCAAGAAGGCCTTCCCCTACCTGTAGATCTCTGTCAACCCTCGCTGTCACAGGCTCTCTTAATACTCTGTGACTCTGATTTAAGGAGCTCATCGCCATTGCATATGCATGTGTATATGACTGTTTGCTTAGATGATGAGCTTTGTAATGAACAGGAACAGCAGATGTTTTGGTCCATCATTGAATACTCATACGTTCAGTGATAGATAATGACAATAATCATAACATTTATGGTAACTAGGATATAATTTTAAATATATACCCAGAGTGCTGCTTAAACAAAATAACATAAGTAAATATGTGTAGTTCACAAATGGTTCTGTCCAAAAATTACTTATTAGGGAGTTAAAAAGTTAACTGTGATTATTTGAAAAAAAAAAAAAAAACAGCTAAATTCAATGGCTCAGCAGTCTACAGCATGAAATAAATATGATATAGGAGACTGTGAATCTGATGTCTTTGATTCAAGTTCTACCTCTGACAATCATTGGTTTTGTAACTTGGAACAAGTCCTTTAATCTTTCTGAGCTTCATTTTCATAATATGTAAGATATATATGTATTTCATAAAATATTTATATGTATAATACTCTTGAAATTCACATGACAGGGCCAGCAGGTGACCTGGTGGTTAAGGCGCTGGGCTTCCACATGGCCAAAAGTGGTTTGAGTCCCAGACCCGATGACTTGAAACTCACGCCAGGCATGTGTGTGTACATGCCCAAAATCCCAAGAGGAGACTGGTGGAGAAGGGATTGTGGCATGGCCATTGCTCCCGGGGGAGGTGACTTCTCACTTTCTCTCTCTCTCTTTCTCTCTCATGCTTGCAAGTGTACATGCCCTTTGGCAAAAACCTAAACAAAATTTTTTTTAAGTCACATGAAATTACCACAGAGAGTGTGTTTTAGGCTCTTAATCTCAGTTCTTAGCATCCTTACTGCTAAAATTTGTGTTTTATCTTTGTTGCATGGGCAATTCCACTTCCAGGGACAATAACTTTCAGGGGCTTTAAAAAGACCTTATTTGCAATACAGTGGGATCCTCAAGTCTTATCCTCCTATTTTTCTAACTCACCAAATTACAACTGATTCAGGCATGTAGCA